TATATATATATATGTGTATGTATATGTATATATATATATATGTGTATGTATATGTATATATATATATAGTTGGACAAAAAGCCACAGACTGAGCATAAAGTTCAATAAAGCAATAAGATCCTCCATTTTGGTTGTGTATTTTTTCAGGGTATTCTTCTCAATACATTTTGTGGTGTCTAGTAAATAGCTTAATGGAGCACTACTGCCACCAGCTGATAAGTTGAGTTGGATTCTGGACCCTGCCTACAGAACCAGTACTGAAGTGCATATGGAAAGCTTCATGTACCGAGCTGAGCCGAGTTAAACTGATCCGAGCCGTCACTATGGAAAAGGGGCATTAGTCTGCTCAGTTCTAGAATTGTGCCGCTCAGGGTGGCTACATGTTGGAGTAGCTCTGTTATTCATTCTGAAATTTAGATTTTGAAAACTTTAATTCCTCTTTTTCTGTATGTAAATTGCATTTTTTGGATGATTATTTCCTCTGGTATCGGATGCTGTGCAAATGGAAAGATTTTTGCTGAAAACTTTTTTTACTTTTGGACATTTGTTATGATGCATAACCATGACAACAAGGTGTTTTTTTTACAACTGGGAGCTGCTGATTAACATCTCAAAAGCTCAAATAATACCTCAGCTACAGCTCCAAATCCCAGATGAGTTGAAAAGGAAGTGCCGTGGATGCATTCCCATCTACCTGGCTGCAGTGCTGGAGTGCCTGATCGCTGAGATGTTGATTCCGCTGATGGAGCAGGAGCAGGAGCCGGGTCGGCTTGGAGGGTTTAATGTGGAGTTTAGAGACAAACCGCCACGTGCTGAAATACGTTCTGGATAAAATACAGTGAGAAACGGGACCGGAGGACAGTTAGCGTTTATGCAAATTAGCTTAGCATCGTAGCACCGATGTTGTCCTATTATGGCGTCAGCCTCTTTTGTTAGTTAAAAATATGTTCAGAACCGATGGGATGAGTAATTTAAAATATGTTTAAAGTTAGAAAACACTCACCATCTTCTATAAATGATTCAAGCAGTGCAGTGGCCGTGTCCAAACCAGCCTTCCTCCCATTTTTATCTGGACGATTGCTGTATATAGCATCCATCTGATCAAACCACTTCCAATTCGACGGTCTGATCTGCTCCTGCTATTGAGGTCTTTAATTTTATGGTATTCACCTTTAAGTTTCTTTAGCTTCTCCCGGCATTGCTTTAGTGTTTGCTGGTAGCCGTGAGAAGCCATCAGCTCCAAATCGCTCCATCTAGCTCGCTTTGACTTTTTTTGTCAGCCACCAAGCACAACAGCACCTGCACTTCTGCATTTGACCACAGCTTTGACATTATTGTTTTTTTACATCTTAAAAATACGTACAAGAATACAAGTTATTGCTAATGGCGGGCTGTAGAGAAAAATGGAGGATCGGGTTGTTCGGAAAGACTCCACAGACTCCTCCCCCTGACCAATCAGTGACCGACAGTGTTTCTGACGTCACGGTTCGGCTTGCTTGGACCCCTTGAGAAGCAGGGTCAGAATACTGGAGGTGAGCAGGTACGAAATACTAATGGAAAAGACCTCAAACACGGGCTGAGCCGGAAATATTTGACCCGCGCTGTGACAGTGCAAAAGGGGCATCTAACAACTCGTTAATCAAACTAGGATGATGATGAGCTACAACAACAATTAATTTCCCTTTTGGATTAATGAAGTATTTTTGAATTTGAATAGAATGGAACTGAATTCATTGGGAATAAAGAAGCCCCATTTGTATTTTATTTAGACAAAATTACAAAAGCAGTTGAATTATATTTTACCAGCAACTAAATTTAACCCATCATATGTGTGTCGTACAGGACCATATCTCCCCCATCTATGTTGTTTTACTTTTTTTTTTTTTTTTAAATCTTCCCAAAATTAAAGTGTAGTTGATGTTTTTATATATATATATATATATATATATATATATATATATATATATTCCATTTCCAAGGATTCATTTACCCCAAATAACAGGATCTCTTCCTTTAGGTTAACAGTGTTTTTATGTCACAAAGTGCCATAAAATTCCCATGAATGAAAATAACAATGTCCTTTTTACATTTTGCAGTCTTTAGAGCTGTAGGCTTTTAGGTTTAGTCTTGCTGCATCAAATCAGTAATCATTTAAAAACAAAAATGACTAAATCATGTCATCTGGACCTGTTTCTTTAAGTGAAGAAACGTTTTGTCCCCCATCCAGAGGACTTCATCATCAGTCTGCGGCCTGCCAACCCGATCTGTCCCATAGGTAGCCTTCATTACTGTGTTCTAAGCAAACCTGTTGATCTTACAAACCTTTTTCAATAAGTCATTCAACCTTTATTTGTACAGGTTAATCCCATTGAACCTCGGGGACTCATTTACAAGAGAGACCTGATAATCATTTAGTTTCCAGTTACAGATTTTAGATATTAATTTTACTAGTGTTTTTTAAAGTAGCAGTACTCTACAATTATCAAGTACATGAAAGACACAATATATAATGAACTGTGTGTGTATGATTGTTAAGAAAATAACAGATGTTAGTGAAACTCAGTATGTACATCTACGACTCATCAACTTATGGAGTCAACTCTAAGCAATGACAGAAATGGCTCAGTCTCATAAAGTGTGAAATATGTTGAGCTGAAGCTTGGTGTTGTAGTAGCTGAGAGTCATGTGGGTCACATTTTCTATTTGCTAACAAATCACGCGAGACCTTTGAATGAAACTGGTATACACAATGATAGGCGATATGCTTCAAGGAATGCTACTTTTCTTTCTAAAATCTTTTTGGACTTGCTTCTCTTTGCAGGTGGGTTTTCCTGAAGGGGTTGTGAATATCTTGCCAGGGTTTGGACCAACAGCTGGTGCTGCCATTGCAAAGCATATGGATGTGGACAAGCTGGCCTTTACTGGATCCACAAATGTATGTCAACTGAATGAGAAAGCACAAAAAAACAACTGTTTTAGGCCCAATGCACAGTGTCTGATCTTATGACCCTTTGTAAACCAAACAATGCCGGAACGCCAATAGAGACCGGGGGGGGGGGGGGGGGGATATGATAATTTTGAATAAAGTAGATGCCATTTCCTGCATTCTGGTGTACTTTAAGTGGTTGTTAAACATCTACATTTGCCTACATTTGTAAACACTTAATTCAACAAGTATTTTAGACAGCAACAAGAAGTAGCCTGACCAACAGCTCTTCTAGTGTGAATAGAGCACAATCTGCTTCTCAAGCATCCTACCACCTACTCCAATACTATTTCCATTGCCACAGCCTTCATGTGCTTTAATTCTCCATTGTTTAGTTGTACAATGAGAAGACATTTTTTTAATGAAAGTAAATTGAACTGTCTTTGATATTTTGATTGCTGTTATTTTGACAAATTGGTGCCATTTTGATACTTGATGTATGTCACGTGATTACCCATCAAATATTTCTCTCATATTTTTAATAAATAATCAGATTTTTATTAATGACCCACTTAAAATGTAAAACTGATTTGCAGTTTAGTCATTCAATTCAGTTTATTTATATAGTGCCGTATCAGAACAAAGTTGTCTCAGGGCACTTTACAGGAACATTCACATACAAAGAAAAGCCAATTAGTAAAGTTCTCTATCTAAGGAATCCAGCAGACAAGTTGAATCTTGGCTTCGTTGCAGTCTCCCATCCTGAGCAAGCACAGTGGCAACATTGCAAAGGGAAAACTCCCTTTTAAATGTTCACACAACTGACCTGCAACTATTTTCTCTAGAATTTTTGAGATGAAAGTTAGATTAGATATAGATCTATAGTTGGCCAGAATTTCTGAATCAAGATCAGACTTTTTAAGTAAAGGTTTAATTACAGCAACCTTAAAGCTCTGTGGTACATAACCATCCATTAAAGACAAATTAAGTAGATCCAAAATGTGAACATTAATTAGTGGAAATACCTCTTTAAACAGTCTGGTTGGGATGGGATCTAGCAGGCATGTGGATGGTTTGGATGAGGTTATTATTTTTGACAATTCAGAGCTCAACAGGACAAAAACTGTCCAAACATAAATCAGGCTCTAGTGAAATTATTAAAGTTGTCTCATTTGACAGGGGACTAGAGATAGTAGAAGGAAGGATGGTTTGAATTTTCTCTCTGAAATAATTTTATTTATAAAGAATCTCATGAAGTCATCACTACTTATAGTTGTAGGGATACATGGTTCAACAGAGATGGGACTTTTAATTAGTCTAGCAATAGTACTAAACAGAAACCTGGGATTATTTTTATTCTCCTCTATTAAAGATGAGTAATATAAAGTTCTAGCTTTACAGAGAGCTTTTTTATATGTTAGCAGACTATCTTTCCAAGTTAAATAAAATTCTTCAACATTAGTAGAGCGCCATTTTCTCTCCTGGTTTCTAGATGCTGCTTTAAAGTACGTAACTCAGAAATGAACCAAGGAGCCAGTTTCCTCTGATTGATTACTTTCTTTTTCAGTGGAGCAATTTTATCAAGTGAAGTTTGAATTGAAGTTGTAAGATGATCAACTAGATGATCTAAGTCTCTGTTCTCTGATGCATTACTCTGCAAGACAGAGGAAAACATTGATGGAAGAGATTGTTTAAATTTGGTTACAGCATTTTCTGATAATCACCTGCTGAGATGAACTTTACTCTCAGTGACTGTGTAGTCATTTAATGTAAACTCAAAGGTTATTAAAAAATGGTCGGACAGAACAGGATTTTGAGGAACTATTACCAAGTCCTTAATCTCTACACCATAGGTCAGAACTAAATCAAGAGTGTGATGATAAGAATGAGTAGATGTGCGGACGTTTTGGGTAAAACCAAATGAGTCTATTAAATTATTAAAGGGTATGATTAAACTATCACTCTCAACATCTACATGAATATTGAAATCACCCATTATGATGATTTTATCAGTATTTAATAATAAGTCAGTTAATAATTCTGAGAATTCAGACAAAAACTGAGAGTAAGCGCCTGGTGGACGATTTATAACAACTAGTAAAAGTGGCTTTTCTGATTTCCATTTTGGATGAGAAAGACTGAGGGACAGTGATTCAAAAGAATCATAACTAATAACTGGTTTGGCATTAATCAATAATCCTGACTGAAAAATAGAAGCTACTCCTCCACCTCGGCCAGTTGTTCTAGGAACATGAACATTTAAATAAATAACAGGAGTGGATTCATTTATACCAACAAAATCCTCCTGTTGTAGCCAAGTTTCTGTCAGACACAATAAATCAATATGATGATCAGTTATCAGTTCATTAACTAACAGGGATTTAGAGGAAACAGATCTGATGTTCAATAATCCACATTTTGGACCTATTTACACGGACACGATGGGGGGAAATGTAGTTTTTTTCGTATGTTAATTAGAGGAAAAGATCCGCGTTGACATGGACGGATTTTGTGTTTACATGCATCTGGAGGATTCCCCCCTGCCGCATTGAATCCGCTGTAGTTACCATGCTGGGTCATTAGTTGGTGCTGTGAATTTTGTACCTTCACCTAATGCGCATACATGCTGCCTCGGCATGCTCTTTTCCTCTGGGCTAAAAGCGCAGCTAACAACAACGTAACAAGTTAAAGCTGGATTGTGGATGAGAGTCGACAGATTTGACTCCAAGCGGGACCGCTTCATCTAACAGATCCACACCGGTCACTGAGTGGACCAGAACCGAGTCGACGATGTTGGACTTTACTCCGTGTTAATCAGTAGCTGATTACTGCAGGTAAATCAGCGTTCTTAATAATGTTAGTTTGTGTTTACTTCGATCACACAACAACTGAGTTTTTATTTTTCCTGAAAGAAGAAGGAGCTGTCTCTCACCAGGCGGACTGGTTCTGAACAAGGCTCGGCCCAGGTGCAGAGCAGGAGGACGCTGAAGAGGGAGAGAGATGTTGGATGAACTATTTATTTAAAATTCCCCCTCATTTCTTTTATTCAATCCATTCAATATTTTAAGCTGCATTAATCAAAGGAGTGACGGCCTGAACGAGCCAGATGAACAACGTGGGACATCCATACCGGATGAAAACAAGAGTCCAGTTGTTCATTAATGCAGTTTACAGTTAACTTGTTTTTAACAGTGTGTTCAGTTTAATTATCAGTGTTTGTGTGACATACAGTTTGTGGTGTTGAATAAATAAATAAAAATTAAACCTGGTGTCTTCATTTTCAACTTTAATAATATGCAATGTTTAGCATCATTTTAATCACATAATTTAAATTGCAAAATGTCCAGATAGCTTCATTATATCTCTCAAACTTAAGATAAATATTGTTTATTATTATTATTATTATTATAATTATTATTAAACTGTTATTATTTAGCACATTTAGTATGTTATAGTGCAGCGCGACGTGTGCACATGCCTCGTTCTATAAACAGCGACATTAGAACTGGATCAGACTGTGTCTCTTCCAACACAGATGTCGGTCACAGCACCTGGAATCTGACGTAGATTAACTACGAGATTAAAATATATTCCATCAGTCATAGTTAAGAAAGTGCTGTGTCCGCCGCCATGTTGATAGAAATATAGCATCTGTGCGCATGTGGTTTAACACAAAGCCTCAGTGTTTACATTATCAGCGGGGGGTCAGCGAAAAACCTCCACTCTGGAAGGTGGGTTCAGAAACCTCCAGATTCAAAGAGGGGGGCCACTGGTGTCGTGTAAATGATCAGCAGAACCTCAGAGAATGCTGCGGATGCACTCAGAATATGTGCCATTTAAACAGCCCCTTAATGATTTTATGATTTTGCTCTGGTAAAGTAACTGTGTTTATTTTAATCAGATTTTTATGGTTTATATTTTTAGAGCTGATTTTTGGTTTATTTAATTTGAGCCATGGGCGAGTTGACACTGTTTCAATGGGGGTGTGGGTGGGTAACAGAGGAGAAACAGCAGAGAGGTGGAGGACTACAACTCTGCTTCCTGGACTGGACCCTGGGTTGTCAATAATTTGGGGGATCAACAAAATCAGCCATATTTCTAGAAAGAAGAGCGGCTCCGTCCAAAGTGGGATGGATGCCATCTCTCCGCATCAGACCAGGTTTTCCCCAGAAAGAACTCCAGTTATCTATGTAGCCCACGTCGTTGTCAGAACACCACCTGGACACCCAGCGGTTAAATGACGACATACGGCTAAACATGTCATCGCTGGTCAGGTTGGGGAGGGGGCCGGAGAAAACTACGGAGTCCCACATGGTTTTTTCAAAGTCACACTCCGAAGCAACATTAATTTTAGTGACCTCCGATTGGCGTAACCGGGTGTCATTACAGCCGACGTGAATAACAATCTTACTGTATTTAGCCTTAGTCAGCAGTTTCAGATAAGATTCTGTCGCCCGCTCTGGCTCCCGGAATGCATTTGACTATGGCCGCTGGAGTCCCTAAAGCCACGTTTGGGACTATGGAGCTTCCAATAACCAGGGTCTGCTTCTCAGCAGGTGTGTCACTGAGCGAGGAAAATCCATTAGAAACGTGAACTGGTCGTTGGTGAACTGGGGGCTTAGCTTTAGCACTACGCTTTCTCTGGACCATCACCCAGCCGGCCTGGGGTCCCAGCTGCTCGGGGTCTGCTGGAAGACTGCAGACTTACAGGAACTAGTCTTTGTGGTTCTGCGCTATCTAAGGGGACCTGGCTAGCTAATGGTTTTTCTACAGCATGAAGCTGGGCTTCCAGTTCAGACAGCCTTTCCCCCAAAGCTACCATAAGATTACATTTGTTACATGTATCATTACCGCTAAAGGAGGCAGAGGAGTAACTAAACATCTGACACACGGAGCAAGTTAAAACTGGGAGAGAAGCAGAAGCCGTGCTATGCTAACGCTAGCAAGAGCTAGCAGATCCCAAAACACCAATAAAAACCGAGAAGTGTTGAAAGATAAAATGTGTTTTA